ATTGTTGTTTGACGGGCCCAGGCAGGATTGGAACCCTCCACCTTAGGTGTATGTGGCTGGCGCCTTAGCCACTTAAGCCACAGGCACCTTCATTTCTTCCCCTGTCAAATGACAAGCGTCAGCCTCATCCCTTATGTGTACGCCAGGTGACTGTGAGAATCACATAAAAAGATACAAAGAAAATCACTCTGGAAACCTATGAAGAAACACTGTACAAACTAAAGGGATTGTTATGAGCACATCTTACTCATTCAAACTTCCAAATTCTGACCTGAATATACTATCCAGAACCTGGAAAAGATTTTTAAAATGTCTGTGCTACACACTGTTTTTACTAAGTCCTGTAGTCTATGGTGTAGGAGAAGAATTACCCTCTGCAGGCCAAAAGGTCTAAAGTGAGGCAGGGAGAGCCTGACAGATCCCAGAAGCAACAGAAAGCCAGTGCCAGGCTGTGTTCTGGGCAGAGCACCAATTCGCACTGTGGTTCAGTCCTTAGGCCCACCCAGGAAGCCTCTCCCCCGCTGTATTATCATCTCATCTACTCAAGCTTATGAATCATGAAAGAAAAAACGATCATTTAATTTCAAAATTCCACTCCCAACCAGTATTTTGCAACTTTGGAGTTGTTTAACAATAACATTATTATCCAGTTAGGCAGATTTTATTTGTTTGTTTTTACTGTTTTTGTATCTGAGATCTAAGGCACCAACATAACAACAAATTTTATATGAAATGACTAAATTGTTTCATAAATTCTGCATTTTCCCAAACATCAAAGTACAAACATTTCCTGATAAAAACAGTTAGCAGTCAGGGTACAAGACAGGGGGAGGAATTAACTCTATTCCTGATTTTTAAGCTGTCTTCTGTTAATGGTGGTTTTAATGGATTCTCTTTGATGACAAAATAACTAAGTTTTTGAACTTCAAAATAATATATCTGGAAGCAGCGTGGCTCTTCAAAGTTCCTGCATTTGAAGAGCTCAATCCTGCAGGGGAGAGGCAGGAGGGCAGAATGGAGAGCTTGTTTTACTAGCGTCCTAGTGTCCCCATGTACAAAGTGTCAACTCAGTGCCAGGAATTTACATCCGCAACCAAACACATCAATCCTGGGTTGGGTAGGGTACCCAATGGTTAGGGTTCAGTTCCTCAAAAGCGAGGAGCAAGTTGAGTCCTGCTTCTCTGCTCTCCTGAAGGGCCTCCATTCAGGCAGAATTGGGGGAGGGACCTCCATGGGGAAGGGTCTGAAAATACTGCTATTCTCAAGTCAGACATAGTGACTCACACCTGTAATCATAGCACTTTGGGAGATTGAGGCAGGAAGATCATTTGAGGTCAGTCTTTATTAAAAATAGAAAAATTGGTGGGGTGTGGTGGCATAGGCCCATAGTCCCTGATACTCAGGAGGCGGAGGTGGGAGGATCACTTAAGCCCGGGAGGATCACTTAAGCCCGGGAGTTTGAGGTTGCAGTGAGCTATGATGACACCACTGCACTTTACCCCAGGTGACACAGTAAGACTCTGTCTCCAAAACAAACAAACAAAAACAATTGCTACTTTCCCTTCTGCTTCTCCATCTGTGCGTCGGCCCTTCCCTTTTTTCTACTTATCTTCAAATTCAGCACAAAGGCCTCAGGCCCAAGATTTGTCCTATAATCTTGACTGTATCATCATTAAAGCTGATGCTTTGCCCCTTATTGATCTGAGGTGCCATAAGTTAAAAGGCAAAAAGGAATATGAAAGGGGTTGTTCCAACTTTGAACACTTACCAGTCTGGACAAGGCTCTGGATCCAGCATAGATTATACCCACAAACAGCACCGAAGCAGGAAGCCATGTCAAAACATTAGATCTGGAAAGACAGAAAAAAGCCAGAACACTTTTGTTACTTTATGTTAAAAAATCTAGCTGGAAGGGTTGACCCTTCAGATGCACCAACCACAGGAACAGAGCTTGTCCAAACATCCCTGAAGGATTCCTTAAGCGATGTGGTCTTTGCCCACCAAGAGTGACAGAGGCAGACAAACCCTCCCTCCCTGCACTCTTGTCATTTGCTGACTATCTACTGTGCCTGATCCCAGAGTTAGAAAAGGCCTTGTTGCAGGTTGGGGAGAGGAGAACAGATTTGAATTTTTTTCAAAGGTACTGAACATTATCCTTTGTATTTTAAGTAGTCTACAAGTTTTGAACCCATGCCAAATAATTAAAAATTGAAAAGGCAATTTACCTAGGCAATATACCAAACAGCTCCATGGAATCACAACCCAAAAAAGTCACAGTATAAAAAAATATGACGAAGAATCCTAGAATTTAAGGTGACTTATGCTGACTTCTTCAACCATTAACCTGACGTTGTTGCAATTCTGGTTTGGAAAATCTTGAAGGACTTCTAAAGGGCACATTGCTTTGATTGGATTGTGGCCACACCAGGAACTGCTTTTTCATTACAGTTTAGAATCAAAATTCCAGTTGTCACATACAGTGCCTATCACTGCGACTACAATTTATTTCACCTATCAGTTAGAAATGCATTCAATGGATTAACTCGAGTTCCTAGAGTTACCCTAATAATGAATAAAAATAAATAAAACCATTCCAGCAGGATTGAACATGATAAGCCCAACTAACTCAATGAACTGCCCTCCTGGAATGATGCCTGCCCAAGAATGTTCTTCCTAGGCCAGGTGCAGTGGCTCACGCCCGTAATCCCTACAGTCTGGGAGGCCAAGGTGGGTGGATTGCTTGAGCTTAGGAGTTCGAGACTGGCCTGAGCAAGAGCAAGAGCCCATCTCTACTAAAGACAGAAAAACAAGCCAGGCATTGTGGTGAGCACCAATAATCCCAGCTACTCCAGAGACTGAGGCAAGATTATTTCCTGATCCCAAGAGTTTCAAGTAGCTGTGAGCCGTGATGCCATAGCACTCTACCCCAGGGCAACAAAGTGAGACTGTCTCAAAAAACGAACAAAAAAACCCAAAAATGTGCTTTGTGAATTCTATTAGAACGGGCAGGTATTCCATCCCAGATCAACCCCAATTGGTACAACCTCCCAGGAAACCTAGCATTTAAGCATTTCTAGTCCATAGCAAAGGCCTTCCAACATTACTTGCTGCATAAATTCATTCAGAACATATATAGCAACTTACAATTTACTAGAAATATATTAATACCAGCTTCACAGTCAACTTTTATTGAGCACTTGCCACAAACCAGGCACTGTGTTAAGTGTTTCATACCCT